GATGTTACAACAGTGGATTAAAAATATATCACATCAATGTGATAATTTAGTATTGTGATGTTAGAACAGCGGATTAAAAATATATCACATCAATGTGATAATTTAGTATTGTGATGTTACAACAATGGATTAAAAATATATCACATCAGTGTGATAATTTAGTATTGTGATGTTAGTACAGTGGATTAAAATATATCACACCAATGTGATAATTTAGTATTGTGATGTTACAACAATGGATTAAAAATATATCACATCAGTGTGATAATTTAGTATTGTGATGTTAGAACAGTGAATTAAAAATAAATCACATCAGTGTGATAATTTAGTATTGTGATGTTACAACAATGGATTAAAAATATATCACATCAATGTGATAATTTAGTATTGTGATGTTAGAACAGTGAATTAAAAATAAATCACATCAGTGTGATAATTTAGTATTGTGATGTTAGAACAATGGATTGAAACTTACCTGTGTATTTTTCACTACATAGTTCTGGTAACTTTTCTCAGAGTAGATGCACATGTTGTATAAAGAGTAACTTGTTTTAATTGTTTTAAGTCCTCAGGTGAAGTTCTGTGGCTATGCAGTACCTCATCCATCTGAAAACAAAATCAACTTGAGGATTCAGACATATGGTAAGTTTAAATGTTACATCAGACATATGGTAAGTTTAAATGTTACATCAGGCATATGGTAAGTTTAAATGTTACATCAGGCATATGGTAAGTTTAAATGTTACATCAGGCATATGGTAAGTTTAAATGTTACATCAGGCATATGGTAAGTTTAAATGTTACACCAGGTGTATGGTAAGTTTAAATGTTACATCAGACGTATGGTTTAAATGTTACATCAGGCATATGGTAAGTTTAAATGTTACATCAAACGTATGGTAAATTTAAATGTTACATCTTGTATTCGGTATGAAAATAGCTTAAAGTACCAACTCACTCTAACAAAAACTTTCACAATGGTCCGTTGTTGCTACTTTCATATTTTTGTGTTGTAACTGCTTCTCAGAACAGAAAGCTGTGCTGGTACGACATACCATTTGCATATTTGAATTATATTCAAGTTGCAGTATTGTTGTGAGGTCAGATGTTCTACTGACTCCATTACTTACTTGTGTTTTAACATTGGTGTGAAGTTACACATACACCGAGTTGATACATGTAGGGAATCACTAAAACACAAATTCCATATATATTACTTAAACTTTGTATTTTAGTGGTTGTCTAACTTTTACATTAACTACTGAAAATGCATTTTAGATCAAATCTTCATTAATGTTATCCAACTATGACAGTGTAATTTTGACATACATTATCCAAAGGAAGGTGTTATTAAAACTCTTGAGAATGAACTAACAGGTTTATATTATATCAAAAGTTTTCCCAGCCGATAAATATCTGAAAATAAAAGATATTCATCAACCAGTTTTAATTTAAAACATTTACATTGGACCTCAGTCGAGGTGGAATTAGTTTAAACCATTTAAAAAATATCGATCAGTGATAACAACTGCAAACCAAACTGATTAAAAGTACAACAAATCCAAGTCAGTACATATATTCAGCCTGAGAAAACATCATCACAGTTTGCTCTAATGTTTACTGCTAAAGACAAGCTATTAAAAAGGTTATTTGAAAACTGACTTTATTCTATAGGTTTTTATAATTTGTTTACATGTGCCCCATGATTTCAACTCTACAGACTTTATTCTATAGGTTTTTATAATTTGTTTACATGTGCCCCATGATTTCAACTCTACAGACTTTATTCTATAGGTTTTTATAATTTGTTTACATGTGCCCCATGATTTCAACTCTACAATTGTAGTTAACTTCTTGATTTGTTTTTAAACTTTGGATTAATTTTTTTTCAATTCTAATTTTATAATAGCTTTTGTTTTTATACGTCAATTTCCCTTTTTTTTTTAATAAATTTCCTGAATACATAATTGAGATATTTAAAGAGTAAAACTTTGTAAAATCCAATATTAAACCACCATTCAGTTATTTGTAATATTTATTAGGACAGCCAGCAATGGAAGCTTTCAAGAAAGGATTAGAAGATTTATATAAGATGTCAGAACATATCCTCAAGACATTTATGGTTAGTTGATTTAAATGTTTTTGGAAAACTCTTATTTTACAATTGTGATACAAAATGGTACAGCAGTTCTTCTGTTTTGGTTACAGATCAACTAGAAGAACCATTATTTTACGTACTGGTTCAAAAATAGTTTTTATATTATTTTTTTTATCTTAACCTATCCATTACAGGCTGGGTGGATTCGACCCAGCTCGTAACCACGAAAGTATCCATAAGAGTAATTATACTATGATTTTTCATAATGTAAGCACATCTTTACAAAATTTTGCCGGTTATCGGTAAACATTACAAGGTTTTCATTCACAAAATATTGGGTTTTTAAATTAAGTATTAAGATTTTTCAATTAAAGATTTTCTCATAAACCTATTTCTTTCAGAATGTTGAATATCCAACATGCAAAGCAATTTTGATTTTAAGATTAAAAATACTTTAGTGCATTAGAACATTTTCAAATTTAACTTTATAATCTCCAAATAAATGTAAAATTTTTTGTTTAAAAAAACTATATTTTATTTGTTATTTTCACTAGTGTGTTTCTGTACGGGTTGGTTTGATATGACCGATTTCGTAACCTCAATAAAAAATTAGGAAAAAAATATAAATTATGCTTTTTCATTCTAGAATGACTACAGATTATAACTTGAAAACATAAATGTGTAGACTAAGTAGCTTAAATCTCATAACAATATACATTTATATATATTTATTATTATATTGACCTTTCAGCCATGCCTGGCTAACAATATGGAAGTTACAATGACGAGGCTCGCGTGCACTTATGTTACCGTATCAAATAACATGAAACTGACCTTTGGTCTTTACAAAGTGACCTGTCTTGGATGTGTTTTAGTGAACTAGTATTTTGTAAAATACAATCACATTTCAATTATTATACATTATATATGTATATAGATTATTTCTATTTACAAATAAGCTCTTAAACTTATTTTTCTTAAAACATAGAACAGTAAATAAAGATGTGAAGCTAACAATTATCTCTTCTAGTTACGACCTTTATACTTGTTTGCCGATTGTTGTAGGTTGCTAAGCCTTATGAAATTTCCCACGTGGAGGATGTAAAAATAAATTTTTTATTGGTTTTATATATAAATTTTAAATAACC